CAGCTTAGCTTCCCCCCTCCTCCCAGCCTCCCAGCCTCCCAGCCCACTCCCTGAAGCCTCTCCAGCCTGGCCTGACCCCTCACCCTTGTGCAGCCCGGTGTACTTGTCCTTGATGACAGTCAGCTCGAAGATCCGACCAAACTGTTCGAAGATGGGTTTCAGGTCCTTTTCCTCCAGATGCCTCGGGATCTGCCCCACAAACAGCTTGATGGCATCCGGCTCCTTCATTGGGGCGGCCCAGGAGGAGGGGCCGAGGGGAGCAGGGAGAGGCCCAAAGCCAGGGGGAGCTGCCCAGCAAGGAAGCAAGTGGTCCGGGCCAGGGCCCAGCCTGGGGCTGGCTTTCCCTTTGGCCCCCAACCACAGTGCTGAGCAGAGGGGCAGCTCTTCACACAAAGGAGGCCCAGAGAGTTGAGGGCTAAGGGTCAGGGGTCTAGGCAGACGCTGTCATGCCACCAGGGGGCATAGCCCAAACAAACGATCTCCCTCCCAGAGATCTGGCAAATATCCCAGGATGGGAGGCAATGTGGCCAAGACCTGGGTTAGGGTGGTAGCAAGGGTGCTGGGAATTGGGGTTTAAGATAAGAGCTGGAGGTGAAGGAAAGGGCCTGAGGAGGGAGGTGGGGATGGAGACTGAGGGGTTAGAGGCCTGGTATGGTTGCCAGCAGCGTCAGTGTTGGGTAGGGGGGGCACTCCTGATGTGGGGCAGGTGGAGCTCTCGTTGGCTTCCCTGGGAGGACACCTCCCCTGTGGCTGATCCTTCTGCTGGGTCCGAAGATCCCTGATGCCAGATGCTTGATCTCTGATGGCGGCAGGGCTCCGGGGTCCCTTTTGCCCTGCAGCCCCCCTTCAGGTCCTCCCCTCAGCCCCCCTCCCACCCCCACCCCGGTCCCCGGGCCTGGACTGATGCTGGCTGCTCCCGCCGCTGGGGCTGCCTGCTTTCTCGGTCACCTGGGTCCCGGAGCTCTGCTCTCCGGCCGCGCTCTCCTCAACAAAAACCACCCCCCTCCACACCCCCTCCCCACTCCCACCTCCTTTCCCCTGACATCAGTGATGTCAGTCTCAGGGGTGGAATACAAATTCTCTACCCTGGAGAGGGACGCACAATCCAGACAAGAGCCACGCCCTCTTTCTATCTGCTTCCTCCCTGACTCCCTTCCCACCCCCAGAAGAGCAGCTGGTCCTGTTGATAATAACCCTTCCCCCATCTTACTCCCCAATCACGAGTTGTGTAAGGCGCTAAGATGGAGAATTTATAGAGGAGCCCTAAAGTGGGGTCCATTGTTCCGGGGGCTGGAGCTGTCCCCGGTGCTGGAAGAGAGGACCCAGGAGAGGGGAGGCGGGGGAGGAAGGGAGGGGAGCCGGCATCTGGGGAGACTGAGAGTGGAGAGCCAAGGAAAACCAGCGGAAAGAAGATGGCATAGGGACAGTGGGCAGGTTGGGAGTGAGGAGAAGGGTGTAGCTGGTCGGGGGCGGGGGGAGGGGAAGCAGGTGTCAGAGCTTGGGGGAAAGGGCAGAAGAGACCCAGAGAGAAAGACAGAAAGAAGGGCATAGAGAGAGAGCAGGGTGAGATACATGCGGAGAGAGAACTGTGTGCTTTCCAGAAAAGGAACCAAGACAAACCCTATCTTGCTGGCATTTGCCAACGCCCCCTTTTCGCCCTCTGGGGGGTTTGTGTGTATAAGTGCATGGGCAGGGAGGCAGTGGTGACAGCGGGAGCTCTCACTTGTAAGCTCCTTGAAGACCAAGACACCATTTAATACAACATTTTACTGTTCACAGTGTCTAACACAGTGTCTTGTTCACATGTAGTAGGCACTTAACAAATATTTCTCGAATTAACAGTCAAATGCAGAGAACCTTTCATGGAGTAGATTCCTAATTCCTTCAGTGGGCAGAACCACAGCTGTCAAGCTCCCCTTTAGGGCAGAGGAAACCCAATTACTCCTTCCTTCCACCCCGCCTTAGGTTCTCTGAGTGGGAGTCTCTAATTGAGTCAGGTAACAAAGAGGGATGGGTGAAGCATGTTTGGGGGCCATTACTCCCCTGAACAGCTATGCTTCTATAGATGATCATTTTGCTCCATTATGTTGAGGGAGATTGACTGCTCCATGCCCTGGGCTCACTCACAGCTCCATCTCAATGCAGGGAGTATCTGTTGACATCAAACCTCCTGGACAGGGCAGCCCTTGCTTGCCATCAAGTGTTCACCAACCTGGGCTCACAGCTTTTGTGGAACACCCTGCTTCCTATCATTCTTTCATCCCAGAATGGGGCTGATGTCTCCACAGTGGTGCTGGTGTCTCTGAAATATGTCCCCCTGAATCCCAGCAGCCCCTATGCCTCTGCTATTTGGGCGGGCAGGCTTCTCTTCTGGAAGGGAAGTAATAGTAATATCACTTAGAGGACTATTCTGGTATCAGTCTGTGTCACAGGCACCATTCCAAGTGCTTTATATTTACTAATTTGTTTAACCATCAGCACAAACCTATGACATAGGTTCTAGCCTTCTCTGAGTAAAGATGAGGAAACCAAGGTACAAAGAAATTAAATGACTCGCTTAAGGTCACTCACTAGAAAGAGGTCCAGCTAAGAGTGGAGACCGGATAGTCTGGCTCCAAGTTCACGCATTTAACTCCCACATCAAATCTCCTGGTGGGAATGGACAGAGTAGCTGAGCCTGGCCTTTCTTCCTCTTGTGTCTTCATTTGAGCCCTGGATAAGAGATATCCTTCCCTCTGCTGTTTGATTGTCCATTAACCACCTTCCATCCTTCCTTAGCCTCATTTTCTGTGGCCTGAAGCCACATTCTGACAGGTATGCATGTTTGAGTGAGTGAGTGTGTGTGTGTGTGTGTAGACATGATTACACTTACGGTATGGATGCCAGGTTCTCCCAGTAGGGTCCTCTAAAATGGGTGGTGGTGGGAGATGGTAGAGGACTCAGTGCTGGGTGGTCAGAATATATGATCACAGTGTCAGGGAGTCAAGAGTGCAAACACATCTGGAAAGTAACTTTCCACTCATCTCCCCCACCCCCACTGCTCCTTCTCTTGCCTCCTAATCTGATCTTGGTATTTATGGAGATGCTAAACAGATCACGCCCTCTGAGGATGGAGCCTAGGAAGACCCCATGGCCTTGTTGATCTCATTACTCTGTGTCTTGTCAGCAGATCTGCCGCCCTGCTGCTCATTCAGGCTTGGGGCTAATCATATTAATTGAAATATTAAACATTCACAAAAATGAATTATAATGAATTCCCCTCACTCCTCCTCTCAGTCAGCAGTTGAGGAGACAGCTGCAGGCAGCAGACCACCTCCAATCCTTTGCTTCATTCGTGATCCTCAGATGGAGGGTTTCAGCGTGAGAGGAGAGGCAGAGTTTAGGGGAGAAGCCATGGGAGCTCTCTTCAGGCCCTCCCTGTTGAGTGACTGTGGGCACATCTCTGTTTTCCTTTAGGCTGTGGGGGAGGGGAGCCCTGTGAGGTAAAGGAGGGGGGGCGGAAAACTGACTCAGAGGCCCTACTGGGGAGTTGCTTTCCAGGAAGAAATGAGGCTCCCAACCCCTAGTTTCTCCAAGGAAGTTTCTCTGCCCACCATCCCAAGCTCACCTTCTTTTTTATTTTTCTGCCCTCAGTGCTAAGGTGCCCTACATTAAAATATTGACTTTATACAGAGAGAGCTCACTCTTGGTTTTAGATTCCTGGGAAATGAGAAATGCTGAATAATTGGGATACTTTTCAGAAAGGACAAAATGTAGTGATGGTATGTGTGGGCAGAGTGGCTAGTCACCAATACTTGTTGGCCTCACTAATTGACAGCAGAGCGAAGACATCTGCAGCAGAATCTATGAGAGTGTGCAAAGAGCTGATTATACAACCTTCCTTCCTTCAAGTGGCTTCCACCTCAGATGGAGAGGTAAGACAGGCCAACACAGTTTACAATAGTGAGAACTATCATATACCAGTAAAAAAATGAAAGTAGCCTCTCTCATTGACACATATGTGTATTTGGGGTTTGGGCCATGGGTTGTGGTCAGTCAGGAAAGGCTTGATTGATTTTCAAAGCACAAGAAGATCATAGCCTAACAGAAGGAGGGCCTTCATTATTTTATTCGTGGTGGGGTGGGAAATGGAAGGAATTGTGCATGCATATGCGTGTGTGTGTGTGTAGATTTGCCAGTCCACACCAGCACTGTTTAATATAATGTAAGCCATATATATAATTTAAAAATTTTTCATAGCCACATTAAAAAAGTGACAAGAAAAAGTGAAATTACTTTTAATTATATATTTTATTTAACTAATATATCCAAAATATTATTCAACATGTTTATATGACATATCCAAAATATTCAACATATAATCAATGTAAGAATTATTAATGAGATAGTTTACATTTTTTTAACACTAAGTCTTGAAAATCCACTGAGGATTTTACACTTACAGCTTATCTGACACTTAAATAGCAAATTTCAAAAGCTTAATAGCCACAAGTAGCTTGTGGTGACCACACTGGATGGTGCAAAACTAGAGGGTCTGCCACCACTTCTGTGAGGTGGAGTGGGGGAAAGAGACAGGTCCCTGGTCAGTAGGAATGATCACCCCTGATTAACCTCTGCTCCTATCTAAAAAAATCACTTCTGACAGATGGCAGCTTATCTACCTCTCACTATTAACTCTCGCTACAAAAAACAACCAAAATGATTACTAACCCAGATGGGGTTTCTGGGGAGAGGCTTGTAGCCCACTATCTAATCTACCTCTTGAGGTTTTTTCCTGGCTTTGGAACTGAGAACATTTTCACTTCTTTTCCTCAGTCTTTTCTGAGAAGGATAGAGGCAGACCACCACCGAGATACCACTCCCAGGCCATGGCCTAACGCTAGGCTTGTTTCTTATGCTCTTTCCTTCCTCCTTGGGCAGCTGTTCACAAGTCTGAAAAGACAGCCTCCTTTCAGACTCTCTTCTCGGCCTCTCAGAAGGCCTCTGTGGGGCATGATCTCTGGGGGTGTAGAAATTCAGCATTTGTGTGTATTGTCAAACAGCCTCCTGCCCTTTCTAGGTGATATTTTCAGCTCTCTGGCTTTCTGTCTCACATTTTCTTCTTAATTAGATAGCAGAAGAACACATCTTGAAGACCAACTGCCTTCCTCCTCCCCTACTCAATTGGGAGTGAGAGAAATGATTTAGAATTTATGACGCTCAAGTTAATCTATACAGTAAAGTCAGTCCAAGAGGGGATGCTTCTGGCAGGATGTCCCCAGGTCCTTTCCAGCATTTTTAGTCTGAGAACATGGTTCATTTCATCCAGTGGGGTGTTTCATGTTGTGTTAAGAATCTAAGACTTCAGTGTCAAGTGTCTACAGGACAGATGGAGGGGTTTGGCTTCTGGGCCAAAGGAAAGAGAAGAGGCCTAGATTCTCTTTCCCTACTACTAGGCTTTAAGTGAGAGGGTCAGGAACCAGATTCTGGGAGACACTGCCTTAGGAATCCCTTCTCCAGTTTTGCTCTAGGGCTGAAGAAAAAACTATTTGAGGTTGAATGGGGTCAAGCAGAGGGGCTTATTTTCATATGCAATCAAGCCGGGAATTCAGTCCCCAAATCTGAGGACGGGGATCCTTCACAGATTCTTTGGAGCTTACCCCTCGACTTCAGAGTGGCCCCCATATTGCTTCCCTCGGCCCCGCCCCACTGCTGGAGAGGGCCGGGCTTGGGGGCGGGGCCAGGCCGGGGGCGGGTCCTCACCGGCCGCGCCGCGCGTTGCCTTGACGACCGCGACAAGATGGCGACCCTGCCGGGAGGGATTCAGGGGCTGGACCCCGAGGCGCTGAGCCCTGAGCAGCTGGAGCAGCTGCGCGGCTTCAAGGTGGGTGCGGCCCCGACCCCCGCCTCCTTCAGAGTGCAGCTCCCCCCGGGTAAGGGCCCCAGACTGGGAGAAGCGCCCTGAGGGAAGGGGCTCGGGTGCCTGTTCCCAGAGAGAGGGGCGGAAGGCTGGGGAGAGGGACTCCCCCGGCGGACCCCGGGGGTTCTGGGGTCCTGAACAGAGCCCTGCAGGCACCTGAAAGTGCAGAAAGAACTAAAGCAGGATTGGGCCAGAGAAATGGAGCGAAATGACTGCCGGATCCATGAATTTAGATGCAAACAAGAACTGCCCAACGGTAGCCACCCGACCTTAGTTGTGACCCTGAAGCCTGAGCAGGAGGCACCTTGGAATGTTGATCTGTAAGAAGACAGAGGGCTTGAATTTTCAAACATGCTGGGAAGAGGCCCGGCTTAAATGTGCACGGTGTTTCCCCAAGCCCTTCACACCTCCAGGGCTTGAACCCTGAAATCGGCTCCTCATGGAGCATGACCCTTTGCTCTTGCCCCCCAGATTCAGACCCGGATTACTAATGAAAAGTACCTAAGGACACACAAAGAAGTGGAGTTGCTCATAAGTGGTTTCTTCAGGTAGGTGGTTTTCCAGATTGGCCTTGAGCAACAGTGAACATTTCTACCAAAGCTTGTTGGGAATAGACAAGTGTGAGTGGCCTCTTCTTTCTTTAAACACGCCTTGTTGCTTCCTTTAAGGTCTGAAGGTTAGAAAATAACCCAAGATTGAATTTTTCCAATGCTGGGGTTTGTGACATCCCAGGTTTTCTTGTCTCTAGAGGTTTCCTTCAGTTATCTCTAAGTTCTCAAAAATATTGATATTCATTCACTTTAATTTTTTTAACAGAGGTACTGGGAATTGAACCCAGGACCTGGAGCATGCTAAGCATGTGCTCTACCACCAGGTTATTACCCTCCCACCAATATTCATTTACTTTGGCTGTAGGGATAAATACATGCCTTCTGACACCTGGAAGTGGGAATTTGGCATTGAGAAACTCAGCAGGCGTAGTTTGGGCGTAGAACGCTATTCTCTATCAGAGGAGTTTAACAAGATCAGAAGAACTTAAAAAAAATTCAGATGTCTGGCCTTTCTCTATCTGATAACATTGTTGTAGAAAGACTCCAAGGGTTGGAAGCCACTCCCCTGTAAGTTGAGGGGAAAAGAAGACCATTTTCCACTATATCCTGGAGCATGTTTTTCCTTCTGCCACACTGCCTTTCAGCATGGTATTTGCTTAAATGGAAAATTCCTAATGGGATGAAAAACAAAGAACTTAGGGGAAAAAAATCATGGAGCAGCAATGGATGAAAACAATAGAGCTCTCTCAAATACTGCTTGGCTACAGACAAATGGACAAGATTTAAATAATAATGGCTTCCACTTCCAGGCGGTGTGTTGGTTTTCTGCATTACCAGTTATCACATTGTATTGTAATTGCATTGTCCATCTTCTTTTGCTCTCTCTGGACCAAAGCTCTGAGCTGGTGGAGCCATGTTTGTGTCCCCAGTGCCTGCTGAGTGTATGGCATCTTGGTACACTTTTGTTGATCCTCCCAGCAGCTCTCCAAAAGACAGTTTATTATTGTTTCTATATTACAGGTGGAGAGTGAAATGCCTTCCCCAAGGTCCTGAACTAGGATCCAAACCCCTGGTTTTTCCGTGTGTTGCACTGTAGGCACACAGGAGCTGGGGAGCCAGACCTAGGGCTCTCCTTTGTCTTTTCAAAAATAGGCCTGGAGGGCTGTCTTTTTTCTAGGCCCCTTTGTTTTTCCTAGATCTCACTGTTCTTCATTTTTTTAGCCATTTTTCCAGTGGCAGCAGATTCCCAGAGGGCAGATGAGGGAAGGGGAAAGGGAAAATGGAAATCTATTTGTGAAGTTTGGGTTTTTTAGGGCCATGGGTAAGGCTTGGGCAAAAGATGGTTTCGAGGTCCTCTGTCAGTGTCAGCCCTGGGGATCAGGCCATCACTGCCTGTACCTTTTCTTCTAAAGGGAAATAAAGGATGACATCTTTCCTGTCCTGGGGAGTTTACAATCCAAGTTAGGAATGATTCCAGCAGGGAGATTGGGAATGGATGATAAAGCCTGAATCAAATCACCATTTGCAATGTTCACAAACAAAAGGATTAGAACCCTTGAGGGTGGTAAATGAAGAGGGTGTTATTTAGTCACATGGCAGGGATGGCCTGACGTCTCTGCCCAGGAACAGTTTCCAGGTGGAGCTGGGTGTCTGGGAGGACAGCCCCAGTCATCTTCCCTTTCCTTCCTTACCATCCCCCTCCGCATGCCAGGTAGGCCACCAGACTTTTCCTTTTGCTGTCCCTGAACCTCCCCTCATGAAATCCTCCTGGCCCCTTTTAGGCCTCTCTGTTTCTGGGGTGGAGGTGGGGAGGGGAGAAGTGTTTGAAGTTTGAGGGCTTGCTTTTGGGGTTTTTTTAGCATGATTGTTATTTCCTTTGGACGATGCCAGAATGAACCAGAATCAGCCCCTCATCTGTACTGGATGCTTCAGATGGCCCTTCCTGTGAGAGAAGAGGAAGGGGGAGGAGGGGACAGAACCCTGGGCAGCAAGTCTGTGCTCACCTGTTCAGCAGGTCTCAGCTCTAGATTTATTCCAAGCCATGAGAAGCCCCCAAACAGTTTTTGCTGGGAAGCCAGCTCCCCACTTGCGGTTTCCAGATCCTAATGATTTATGGCCACTCAGCCACAGCCCGCTTGTCTGTGCTCATATACAGTGTACAGAACTCTTAATACGTTGAATTTTGGACCTGAAAAATGGAAGGAGTAGGGATCTAACTTATTTTGGGCACCCAGAGATCTCAGGTTTTAGGTTGGAGATATGATAACTAAGTGTGAAATAGTGGAAAGGCTTCATTTGATGTTTTTGTAAACAGCCAGGCTGATGAATCTTCCCAAACCATAGCACTGACCATGTCATTCCTTGGCTGGAAAAGCCTCCAAATCCACAGTATTGCCTTTTTTTTTTCTTTTTTTAACATTCTGTTGAAATATGAAATGCAGAAAAGTGGCATATCCTACACTGGATGGATTTTCACAAGCTGAGAACACACATGGTACAAGCGTCCAGATCAAGAACTAGAACTTGACCGGCACCTCAGACCCTTTGTGGCCCCTTCCAGTCACTCCCTCCAGAAAGGTGGCCAGCATCCTGACTTCTCACAGCCCAGATTTGTTTTCCCTTTTTTGTACTTTATGTAAATGGGAGTCTGCAGTAGGGCTCTTCTGTGCCTGGCTTCTCCTGCTTGGCAGTGTCTTGTGGATCCTCCATTCTCATTGCTGCCTAGTATTCCACTGTGTGGCTCTCCCACGCTTTAGTTATCCTTTCCCATTGTCCTTTGAATGGAGTATAAATGTCCCTCCTTGGCCTTCACGGCCCCTCCATAGTAAGCCCTCCTTCGCTTCCTATTACTCCGCACACACACCCCCCACTCCAGCCAGACGGGCCGCCGTCCCATCACTCCACCGGCTTCGGCCTCGAGCAGGGGCGTGGCTCTCCTTGAGTGCCCTTCTGGGCCCTGGGGAAACCTGCCCTAGAGCCGTTCACTGTCTGCAGCGCCTGGGCCTCTGCTCCTGCTGCTCCCCTGGTCTGCACTGCTCTTGTCCCTCAGCCCTCGGGCGCTCTCGGATGCCAGCTGCTCTGTGAGGAGTTGGGGTCTTGCTCTGGGCCACCTCCCTCTCCCCTCTGATCTCCCCACTCACTGTGACTTAACACCCTCTTGTAGCACTTCCTGGAGGTTACCTGGCCTTTTGGACATTTGGGAACTTACCTGTTTCCTTTTACTTGACTGTAATTTCTTTGAGGTGGGGCTATAGTTTATCTTTTTTAAATCAATCCCTCATATCATATAGTGACTTACACATAATTTGTGCTTAATAATTCTCAAAATGAATTGAAGGAGAATAAGGGAAGCAAAATTCTTGAAGCCTGGGAAGCAGGGCCCCCCTGGGCGGGCAAGGCAGCCATGGCCCCGAGCACTGGCCTTGGCACCACAGGACCCGGGCCTCCTCTCCTTTATTTGCTTGCTTTATGAACTTGGACAAATGATTAACCTTTTGAAAGCTTGGCTCCTTCACATGTAAGATGGGGCACAGTCACTGCTGTTTCACAGGGTTGTAGAGGGAGGGAGTATTCATGAACATGCTTGATGGGCCATGGAGCTTTGTGCTCTGAGGCACCTTCGGCTTCCCAGTGTCGTTGCAGCGCCCACTGTGCTGCAGGCAGCAGCCATCCCCAGTCTGTCTTCTCAGCTTTGTGCATTGTGCCCTCCCCCGCCCGGCGGCAGTCCCTGGTCAGCCTTCCTCAGGAGGCTGTGGGTCGCATATCTGTCCCCCGACACGGGAGCCCCTCCAGGACCAGGCAGCAGCCTCCTTGTCGTGCGGCCTGGCCTTGGCGTGGTCTGGTCGTGAGCAGTGTTCGCTGAGTGAGTGACAAGCCTCACCTGCTGCAGCACAGCTGTCTTGTGAGGCGAGAATTCCCTCAGCTTGCCACTTCCAGCGTGTCTCGCTCCCGGCCTCAGATTCTGACTCGAAGGAAAATCCCGAATGCAGGGGTCCCTGTCAGGAGTCCCTGGCCCTCTGCCTGCCACCATGGGTGTCTCCGGCCATCCGCCTGATGGCGCGGGACCCTTCTCCCCTTATCCCTTGATGTTTTCCAGAGAAATGTTTTTGAAAAGACCAGACAACATTCAAGAATTTGCTGCAGGTGAGTAGGGCGGCGTCTGTTTTGGGCTTTTGATAAACCAGCGCAAGGAGCGTTGCTGTGAGTTTAAACCTGGAGGAGCGCAGGACTCTCCCTGCAGAGTCGGGGGCACTTCTTTCCCGAGGTCTCCCAAGGGAGCTTTTTTCGAAAGGCTCTTTCCTCCATTGTCATTTCCTTAAAATGAGGACAGATAAGAAATGAGGCAGAACTTCCTCGTGGTGAGGGTTGTTAAGAATTTTGAGATCCCCAAGGGAACAGACTGGCAGCTCTTTCCCTGGGAATCTTAAAGCATGGTTCTCAGCCCTGGTTGCACATTAAAACCACCTGGGGAGCTCTTAAAACATACCGATGCCCGGGCCCACCCCTGGAGGTTTGTATTTAATTAGTCCGGGGTGGGGCCTGGCATCCATAGTTTTAAAGGCTCCCCAGGTGATTCTAATGGGCTCTGCTGCCCTGAGATGGCTTAAGGTTAATGGTACTTAAAGGGAAGGGGTTGAGTTGGATGATTTCTTGGGTCCTGTTAGCCCTGGGAGTCAGTTACAGCCTGAAGCTGTTTCTAACTGAGTCTCAGTACGTCTTTGCTGCCACAGCAGATGCTGCCTCTGATTCACATTATGCTGGAAGTATAAAAACCCTCTTCTGTCGTCAGCCTGCGAGGGCCTGGCTCTCCTCTGAGAGGATATTCTCAGAGAGGGCGTGATGTCTCAGAGACGAGAGCTGGCAGGCCCAATTGAGACAAGAATAACACTTGGTATTTATTCAGGCCCCGAGATGGGCCGGGAGCAGAAAGCCGGAGACTCCCTCAGCCCTCCGATGGCTTCCTGTGCGTCAGCAAGCTGACAAAGGGCAGGGCGGTGTGGAAGGGACAGGAGCGGTCTGTCCTGCCTGGGAACGCTTGAGCCTGGGAACGCTTGAGCCAGAGACTCAGAACTGTGGGTGGGGGGCGGGCAGGGGGAGTCAGTGACCTTGGGATTTGCTGTGACATCTTATATCATGTCGTAAAGCAGGGCCACCAGTAAAAGTCCTGCTAAGACAGAGCCGTTCTAACTTTTTTAGCAGAGTAAGCTGTCTCCCTCCCAGTCTTCCCCCTTGGGTTTAGATGATTTCTTCTTTTTGATTCTTATCCCAGACTATTTCACGGATCCAAGACTTCCCAACAAGATTCACATGCAGCTAATTAAGGAGAAGAAAGTGGCTTAATTAGCAAAATCATGATGCTCAGCTGTTGAGAGAGACCAGAAAGAATCCAGCCTCGGGGTGGGTGTTAACCTCACTTGCAGACTGAGGCTTCTTTAGTCGTGAGAATAAGCACCAGCTCCTCGGCCCAGGGTGTGAAAGAAACCAAATGGAGATGCTGCAGCGAGGTCCCATGCAAGTGCTGAGTTTTCTTGACACCGCTTTGGGGAGTTAGGGACTGTGAAGAGAGGCCCAGGGTGTGGCTCGCGTGTCTGCGGCAGGGAGACCCCGCCGGTTAGCCTAGTGACGGGGTTAGGAGAATGGAAGTGGGACTAGTCCTTGGGGAGAGAGAGTGATGGGGAGATGGGCGTGCAGTCGGTCGTGTCAGGACCTCCTCTCACGCTGCAGAATTCCAGAGTGCTCCGGCAGGGGGCCTAGTCCTGTGTCCTTGGTGGTGGGAGCAGAGGGGCTCCCCACTGCTTCTGGAAAGAGAGGGCAGCCTCCCTAGTTGCTTCTGGATTGGGCGCTCTCCTGCCCGCCTCACGGTCAAACCAGGCCCCGCTGTGAGGGCCATCGCACATTTTCCAAGCAGGGTTTCTGAAATGATTTCGAAGCTTGGGATTTTTAGATGCGAGGTGGGAAAAAGCCACACTCCTGATTTAGCAGCACCCTTTCTGTTTCGCAGGGTCATCTGGAAGCAAAAGAGCCCTGTTGCCACCAGTGTGGGTTCCAGGCCGCCTTGGACTGTGTCTGCAAAGGCTTTTAAAGATACTCATTAAAAACAGACCTTCCTCCTGCTCTCTCTGCTTTATTCACTCGGAAGGAGAAGACATGCTTCATGGGAGGGCTGCTCTGCCCCTGCTCTGGGCCGGCAGGTAGCAGGCCTGCTTCTCTGTCCGTGGCAGCGGCCTCTCAGCTAGGTCAGCGGGCTGTTTCCACATGTGCCTCAACCCCTGTAGTCCCTGCCCCTCCAGGCCCCTCACTCCCTCACTCCGAGGCCAGGACCAGAAAACGAACAGGGCTGGGGATCCTGCGAGGCCCACAGCTGGTCGTGGTGGTACAGAAACAGGCAGAGTCCACACTTGCGAGGTGGCTTTTGTTTTTTCTTTATCTTACCTCCTGGGGTACTGTACAGAGTGGACAGGTGATGATTAACTTTTATTTCCTTAGAAGCAACAACAAGAGGAACTGGGCTGGAAGGGCGGCCAGAGAGAATGAGATTAGACATAGAAAACCCATTCAGGGTCATGAATATTGTGAAATACGAGCCTAATGGGTGGCTCAGATGGTGGACTTTGTTCTTGAGGATTTTTAAGAACAAGCCACCCATCCATTTGATTTTCAGCTCAGAGGCAGGAGAATGGACCAGTTGGCCTTATGAAGGCCTTTGCAGGCCGAGGAGGCGTGTGTGTGTGTCCTGCCTCACAGGCGCTGCTGTAGGAAAGCCCTCTCACCTGTGTGTCACTGGCCAGCTTCACCAAGGCAACAGAAGCACCAGACAACACAGACGGAAGCAGGGGCTGTGTCATCTTCATTCCCCTTATCTCTGCTGTCTTGTTCCCAGCTTCCGTCACCTGCAGTAGCAGAAAGGGCAACAAAATGGGCCATTTAGAGAACTATTAAAACTGTGCGTAATAAGCTGTGAAATATTTTAAGTCCTTTCAGCATCACACTTCAGTGGCTGTGGCTCAGACGGTGGGGTATCCCTGTTTAGCAAATCCAAGTGAAGTCTTCAGCCAAACACACATCTCTCAGGGCCTCTGTCGTGAAGTGTTATATTAGACGTTCTTGGAACCTTTCGTGGGAGGAGAGGCCTGCAACAGTGTGGGGAGGGAGCAGAGTGTTTTTCAGGATGCTTGAGTGTGATTTAATACTGTGAGAGTGCAGTGGCTCATGCTTGGGGAGGTTCCTGGTAGAAATAAGAAATGCATTTCATTTAAGATATATTTCAAATCCTTCCTGAGTAAGGAATACATTTAACACGTGGTCTTAACGCACCTGCTTTGCGTGAGAGAGTGCTCGGTCCTGGGGGTGAGGCAGCGAGGTCGTCCCTGCTGGGCAGTGGCTCCTGCTCTGGGAGACGGGCTGCTTTTCTCCCTGAGCCTGAGCTGTCTGAATGTCTCACCTGTTAGACTGAAAGCTCCACCAGGGCAGGGACCAAATCTAGAAATCAGACTTGTTCACTGTTGAGTTCCCAGCTCCTAGCACAGTGTCTGAGCATAGCAAGCACTCAGGGTGCATTTGTGGAGAGAACGAATGCTTGTGTAACTGAAGGAGCAATCACACTGCATCGATCGCCATCAAGACCGTTGTATACCTGTGATGGAAGTAGGGACATGAAGTGGGAGGAGGTGGGAGGAAGAGCACCCGTCTGCCTGTGGAGTGAGGGAAGCCTCAGGGGAACTGGCACGCGACGTGTAAGAAAGGATTTGCCAGCACACGTGGGGAGTCGCGTGGGGTCGTCAGGGTATCTCAGTGCTTCTGTCCTGCTGAACAGGATGGTGGTGGCCCGCAGATTCTCATGACCTCTTTCTTCCTTGCTTCAAGAGCAGGAGGCGGCAAGAGAAAAGGAGAGGGGAGCAGCCGCTGGGTCAGTCCCAAAGCAGTGTCTGCTGTTCCCTCCCTCCCTGACTCACTCTCCATGGTGTAGCTAGAACGATCTTTCAAGAAACCTAAATCAGTAAGTTATTCTCCTACCTACAACCCTTTAGTGGTCTTCATGCACTCAAAATCCAGGTGGCTTTCCAGGGGCCGTGGAGCTTCACCAGGGCCCTCACCTGTCAGACGTCATCTGCCCTTTGCCTCCCACCTCACTGGGCTCCAGCCACACCAGTCTTTTCTCTCCTCCCCACAAGTGCCAAGGTGGCCCCCAATTCAGGGCTTTAGAACTTTGCCTGGGGTTGTCTTCCCCAGAACCTCACGGAACTAGTGGTCCAGGTTGGGATGTTTTGTGCTGACAGAGGGAGAAAACCCTGCCAAGCGAATGGGCTGTGTTTTTCTCAAGTAGCAAGTCCACAGGGGGCGGCTCCTAGTGTTGGTTCCGGACCTGCCTCTCTGCAGTGTCCTCCCTTCCCCTCACAGTCAGAGGAGGAGCAGGAGGACCAGAGAGGGACTGTGCCAGTGTGCTGGGCTTTCTTTTCAGGGAAGCAAAAGCTTCCCCAGGACACCCTCTCCACCTCCCAACTCCTACTGACATCTTGTTGGCCAGACCTTGTACGTGGCCCCCTCTTGAAGGGAGGCTGGTGAACTGAGGATTCAGCCAGTGAACAGTGAAGCCCTTGCTTGTCACTGCCTTAGAGAGTCCTTTCCTAGGGATCCAACTGAAGTAGCTTCTTCCCCCAAACATTTTTACTTTAAAAAAATTCCCCACCCCCCAGCCATTCTGTCATTATCACTCTATTTTGTTTTCTTCACAACACCTGTCACTGTCTGATATTATCTTGTTTGCTTATTTTCTTGTTACTGTCTGTGGCCCCGGGGACCGTAAGCCCCAATGAGAGCAGGCCTGGTCAGTCTTGTGCATCACTCCAAAGCCAGTGCCTGCAGCTGTGCCCGGTGAGGGTGGCGACTCAGTGCACACTTGCTGAATGGTTGCATGGATGAGTGGATGGTGGTTAGAAGCTGACTGCAGGGTGAGGGCTTGATGGGTGAAGGGGCATGAAAACAGGAGAGGAAGCCTCGATGTCTTAAGGTGGAACAGGGCTTGTGATCTGAATGGAGTGGATTATATGGGGGGTGTAGACTGTAGACTGACTGCCAGGTTTCTTGCGGGGACAAGGATGGGGCTGAGAGGATCACTTGCTAATGCAGAAGGGAAGGTGATAGGGGCAGGGGAAGCGGGGAGATGAGTTTAAACTAAAAGGTTTCCACTGGTTTGCAACTGGGTCGTGGATAATATTAGTATGACTAGCTTCAGTGGGGTTGGCAGAAGTCAGACTGCAGTGGACTTAGTGACTGTGAGATGGGGACTGGGAGTGGATGCACACGGCCTGTGGGCATGACCGTCTAGGAGCCTAGCTGAGAGAGGAGGATGGAGGAAGGGTGGTGGTTAGGAGGGGAAGCAGGCGTGGAGCGCGCGCTTTTATAATGGGAGGCACTTGAGCATCCAGGGATCTGACATTTCCCATCTCTTTGGATCTGTTTTACTTTTAGGCTAAAAAAACGTTAGGAGCTTCTTGGAAATGTTGTGCAGCTTGGCCC